GGGGGCGCCCGGGCTGGCACTGGCCCCCGGTGTCCCCAGGGTTAACAGGAGGCGGGTGCCCGGGCTGGCACTGGCCCCCGGTGTCCCCAGGGTTAACAGGAGGCGGGTGCCCGGGCTGGCACTGGCCCCCGGTGTCCCCAGGGTTAACAGGAGGCGGGTGCCCGGGCTGGCACTGGCCCCCGGTGTCCCCAGGGTTAACAGGAGGCGGGTGCCCGGGCTGGCACTGGCCCCCGGTGTCCCCAGGGTTAACAGGAGGCGGGTGCCCGGGCTGGCACTGGCCCCCGGTGTCCCCAGGGTTAACAGGAGGCGGGTGCCCGGGCTGGCACTGGCCCCCGGTGTCCCCAGGGTTAACAGGAGGCGGGTGCCCGGGCTGGCACTGGCCCCCGGTGTCCCCAGGGTTAACAGGAGGCGGGTGCCCGGGCTGGCACTGGCCCCCGGTGTCCCCAGGGTTAACAGGAGGCGGGTGCCCGGGCTGGCACTGGCCCCCGGTGTCCCCAGGGTTAACAGGAGGCGGGTGCCCGGGCTGGCACTGGCCCCCGGTGTCCCCAGGGTTAACAGGAGGCGGGTGCCCGGGCTGGCACTGGCCCCCGGTGTCCCCAGGGTTAACAGGAGGCGGGTGCCCGGCTGGCGCTGACCCCCTGCTCTTCAGTGTCCCCACGGTTAACAGGAGGCAGAGAAAAAGCCTCGCCCACACCCACCACGTGACCCTGTTTATTACTCTGATCAAAAGTTACTCACACAATACCACATGATTTTACAATCTGAATATTTTATTTTTCATGGTTATACAGTATGAATGATTAGCTCACAATCCAAGATAGTTTTATAAGTTTTGTTCTCCAAAATGGTGTTAAGTGTTATAGGGCAAAAAACTTACATTTACTTTAACAAAATCAAGAACGATGTATTTGACTGGGACAGTGGCACCAGCAGATACATAGCGGCTCCCAGTTAGCCATGCCCCACCGCTCCCCGCAAAGGGGACCGAGAGCCAAGAACCCCCAGACCCTCCCATGGCACCCGGCACACTTATGTAAAGGCCAGGCTGTGAATGACTCATCCGCGATGCTCAGAAGTGAGAGGACTGAACAGCAGGCTGAACTCTGGAGCGCCTCACTTCCTCCTCTTGGTGGAATACAGTTTTTCTTCAAGTGGGACCGGGACAATCCCCTCACACGCCTTTACTTCCTGGGTCAGAGGGTGTTTCACAATATTAGGTCTGATGACGTCAATGTCTCGAGACAAGTGGTCCAGCATGCTTTCCACAGTTGTTGTTGGTGCATAAAAATCCACCAAGAAATACCTGCAATAAGAGAGAAATGCGTGAACGCCTGCCTCTGAACTCCGGTCGATGCCTCCATTCTGCCCCACCCAGACAAAGACATCACCTGCACACAGATGCACACGGCCAGCTCGCCAGGCATCAGCGACACACAGGCATCCTACAGCTGACCAGCTACCCCAGTGTGCTGGCATGCCCAGCCTCCCTTCCCGTGTCCTTTCCCATTACCCTGTTGTGAAAATTTGAATCCAGCCGTAACCGGTTTGGCTCAGTGGATAGAGCGTCGGCCTGCGGACTGAAGGGTCCCAGGTTCGATTCCAGTCAAGGGCATGTACCTTGGTTGCGGGCACATCCCCAGTGGGGGGTGTGCATGAGGCAGCTGATCGATGTTTCTAACTCTCTATCTCTCTCCCTTCCTCTCTGTAAAAAATCAATAAAATATATTTAAAAAAAAAAAATTTGAATCCAAACAAACTTTAGCACAGACGCTCACACAGTCACAGCGTGGCAGGGCCGCCCCCACGTTAGAGTGCGCACGCCTTGTGCTGGCTGCCGCAGGGATGCAAAGCCTTGTGACGTTACATGTAGTGGGAAATACTAGAGAGTATGGTTAAGTTAGGGGTGCAAACAGAATATGTTGTTCAACAAGACTGAACTTCTCAACAAACCATTAGTTGGTGTATTTTGTGAAAACATCTATTAGGTAGTCTTCTAATTTTCCAAATGATTTTACAAGTAACTTAATGCACCAGAGTCACAGTGAGACCATCAGCTACACTTCACAAGACAGGCCTGGGACTTGTCTAAGACAAGTGCACATTCACAAACTGACCAAGAACAAAAGAATTACTTAAAAAATTACTTCCCCATCGTGGGGAAGGAAACAAACATCCAGATCCAGGAAGCCCAGTGAGTTCCGAATAAGAACCCATAGAGACCCACACCAAGACACATTATAATTAAAATGACAAAAGTTAAAGGCAAGGAGAGAATATTAAAAGCAGCAAGGGAAAAACAACTACATACAAGGGAACTCCCATAAGACTACCAGCAGACTTTTCAGCAGAAATTCTGCAGCCAGAATTGAGTGCCACAATATAGGCAAAATGCAGAAAAACTTCCAACCAAGAATACTCCACGGCATCACTGGCCAGTGTGGCTCAGTTGGTTGGGGAGTCATCGCATGCACCGAAAGGTTGCTGGTTTGATTCCTGGTCAGCGGACATACCTAGGTTGTGGGTTTGATCCCTGGCTAGGGCATGTACAGGAGGCAACCAATTGATGTTTCTCTCATATCTCTCTCTCTCTCTTAAAATAAAAAACAACAAATAAATCAGTAAAACATCCTCAGTTGAGGATTTTAAAAAGACAAAAGAAAAAGAATACTTTATGGCAAAGTTGCCATTCAGAACTGTAGGAGAAATAGTTAAACCAGCCTTACAAGAAAGGTACTTCTTTTGGCTGAAAAGTAAGAGTGCTAATTAATAACAAGAATACACATGAAATAATAAATCTCACTGGAAAGGTGGGTATATAATAAAGGTAGTAGATTTATCACTTATAAAGCTAAAGAAGGTTAAAGACAGAAACAGTAAAAGTAACTATGATTACGATAACTAGTTACGGGATATACAAGGTAAAAGATGTAAACCGTGACATAAAATGTGGGAGAGAGTAAAAATGCTGAGCTGTAGAATGGGATCCAACAAGTTGTTATCAACCTAAAACAGACGGTTATGGATGTAGGTTGTAACACGCAAGCCTCATTATACCACCAAGCAAAACCTACAGTAAGTTCACAAAAGAGAGAGGAGGAATGTACGTAAACCACTAACTAGTCATCAACTACAAGGAAGAGAGCAAGAGAAGAAGGAACAGAGAAACTACAAAACAGCCCGAAAACAATCAACAAAGGACCACCAGTGCACACCCATCAATAATTACTTTAAATGTCAATGGACTAAGTTCTTCAGTCAAAGACAGAGTAGCTGAGTGGATAAAAAGATAAAACCCATTTATATGCTGCCTACATGAAACTCCCTTTAGATGTAGGGACACACAGACTGGAAGTGATGGAAGGGAAAAGGTATTCCATGCAAATGGAAACAAACAAACAAAAAAGCGAAGATAGCTATACTTACATTAGACAAAGTAGACTTTAACACAGTGTTTGCGGGTAGTTTTTATCGCGCGCAAACAGGTGGCTCTACTACTTAGTCAACGTAAAACGTATAAATACGTTTCCCGCATACAATGTGTTAAAATGAAGAGAGTAATAAGAGACAGAGAAGGGCATCCTATATAATAAAAGGCTAATGTGCAAATCGACCGAACAGCAGAACGACCGGTCGCTATGATGCGTACTGACCACCGGGGGGCAGATGCTCAAGGCAGGAGCTGCCCCCTGGTGGTCAGTGTGCTCCCACAGGGGGAGCACCGCTTATGCAGAAGCCAGGCTCGTGGCTGCTGAGCGCAGCAGCGGTGGTGGGAGCCTCTCCTGCCTCCGTGGCAGTGCTAAGGATGGGTTAGGCCAGTGGTCGGCAAACTGCGGCTCGCGAGCCACATGCGGCTCTTTGGCCTCTTGAGTGTGGCTCTTCCACAAAATACCATGTATGGGCGCGCATGTACAGTGCTATTGAAACTTCGTGGCCCATGCACAGAAGTCGGTATTTTGTGGAAGAGCCACACTCAAAGGGCCAAAGAGCCGCATGTGGCTGCCGAGCCGCAGTTTGCCGACCACTGGCTTAGGCTCATGGGAAGCGGGCCTAAGCCATCAGCTGGACATCCCCTGAGGGCTCCCAGACTGTGAGAAGGCACAGGCCAGGCTGAGGGACACCCCCCACCCCCTGAGTGCACGAATTTCATGCACGGGGCCTCTAGTTACATAATAAAGGGGTTAACCCACCAAAAGGATCTAACACTTGTAAACATTTATGCACCCAACACAGGAGCACCTAAATATATAAAGCAAACATTCAAAGACCTAAAGGTAGAAATAGACAGCAATACAATAGTAAGGGATTTTAATACCCCATTTACATCAATGTATTGAACATTCAGACCGAAAAAAACCAATAAGGAAACATCTGCCTTAAATGACACAATACCAAATGGACTTAACATATACAAAGGACATAACATCCAAAAGCAACAAAACACACATTGTAGTTAAGTATACGTGGAATATTTTTCAGGATACATCATATGTTAAGGCACAAAACAAGTCTTTTTTAAAATTTTTTTAATTTCAGAGAGGAAGGGAGAGGGAGAGAGAGACTGGAATATCTGATGAGAGATCAATCACTGATCAGCTGCCTCCTGCATGCCCCCTACGGGGGATCAAGCCTGCAACCCAGGCATGTGTCCTTGACCGGAATTGAACCCAGGACCCTTCAGTCTGCAGGCCAACGCTTTATCCACTGAGCCAAACCGGCTAGGGCACAAAACAAGTCTTAATAAATTTTAAAAGATTAAAATAATGTCAAGCATCTTTTCTGACTACAATGGTATGAAACTAGAAATTACACAAGGAAATCTGGACAATTCATAAATATGTGGAGATTAAACAACATGCCACTGAAGAACCAATGGGTCAAAGAAGAAATTAAAAGAGAAATGAAATTTAAAAATCCCTTGCGATAACGGAAATGAAAATACAGGTTTTCCTCGCTTTCCCACAGTAGACCAGGCCTAGGAAATCTTTTGGAAGCCGAAATGGAGCCAAGTGAAGGAGCAATTATCATCAATTTATAGGAAAAAAAATTTAACATTCCCAGACCCAGACCCCAAATGTAATGCACATACAATGTGTTCATTTCATTCCCACAGACTCTTCATTACACCCAGTGTTATGCTGACTGTGACTCCCACACGAGCTCTCTCGGGCCTTCCTGGTGCCTTAGGGCCCTTCTTGCTAATGGATACACAACACAAGCGGTAAGTCAAGGGACAGCACAGATGCTCAGACACAGTTCACAGCGTGGCAGGGCCCCTGCTTTAGAGGGCGCACGCCTCTGAGCTGGCTGCCGCAAGACCACGCTGAATTCTGTCCTATTGATGGGCATTTAACAAAACCCCTTACCCATTCCTGATAAGGACTCAGCCAACTACAGAAGGGACCTTCTGCAGCCTCATGAAGAGCATCCTTGAGACACGAACAACTAACAACACACTAACTGGTGGACACCTGAATGCTCTCCTCCTCAGACTGAGAATAACCCGGAAGTCTGCTCTCACCACTTCAACATTGTACTGAAGGTCTTGCCAGCGCGATAAGGCAAGAAAAGTGGAAGTAAAAGGCATCCAGCCTGGTAAACAAGAAGCAAGACGGTCTTCATTTGCAGATGTCATGATTGGGTTTATAAAAAATCTGAAGAAATTTACAAAAAGATGTAAATTTCTTCAGATTTTTTATAAACCCGATCATGAACTAATAACTGAGCTCAGTAAGCTTATAAGACATGATATTAATATACCAAAAATAAAATCAATGGTATTTCTATATACTAGCAACAAATAATCAGACCTTGAAATTAAATATAAAACACTTAGGAATTAATCTGACAAAAGATGAGCAAGACCTGTACACTAGAAACTACAAGCGGCTGTGAAAGGAAATGAAAGGGAACCTACATAATGGAGAAGTGCACCTTGCCCATGGGTAGGAAAATTCCAATTTATTTAGATGCCAATTCTCCCAAACTGATCTACAGATTCAAAAGAATCCCAATCAAAACCATAGCAGATTCTTTTGTTAGAAATTGACAAACTGATTCTAAAGTTCATATGGAAATTCAAGCACCTAAAACAGCCAAACTAACTTTAATAAAGAATTAGTGCAAGACCTAACACTACCTGATTTCAAGACTTATTCTAAAGCGCTGGTAACCGGGGCAGCACGTGTTCATATACAGGTACACACACCAATAGGACAGAATGAAGAGTCCACGGCGGACCCATACAGGTATGTGCAACTGGTTTCAGACAAGAGGTGGGAAAGCAGCGCAGCGGAAGGACAGTCC